AGAATCATATCTGTAACGGTGCATTTAGCCTACGCTACGGTGAGGCGACTCTTATCACCGAACTTGTGTAAGGTGCGAAGGGTTCCCTGTCTCGGATTTGGCCCAATGGCAGTTTATTTGATAGGCAATTTGATGACTTTTCTAATGCGCCACCAAATCCGAGATGATGAATCCCGCACACCTCGCGACCAAAGTTTGGTTATGGCCCACCCCAGCCCCAGCTGAGGCATCTCGCCATCGCCTCAGAGGATTTCAGCCAATCGCAGTCCTCAAAACCTCTGGGGCGAGCCATTTGGTAAATTAGCTATGGGAATGGTGTTCAATCAAATAAGAGGAGGTGGCGTGACGTACCGCCGCCGCTTAACACATGAGCGGCAGAGGTTAGGTTCGTGCGGTTTTCTTCGTCATAGTTCATACAGTTTAAAGCGGACACGCATCTAGCACCATGGTATCCCTCCCCGTGCTCACTCCATCGTGCCCCCTTCAACATGACCTGTGGTGATACCGCCCCCCCACCCCGGCCCGTCCGTCCGTCCGTCCTGTCAGCCACCAGGTATCACTACAGAAGGACGCGGGGTTAAAGAGCCACCTGGTAAAAAATGTTACATAATTCAGAGATTACTACAAATTTCGGATGAGGCGCTCAAGCAGGCTGAATTTCTACGTAGTTAACATTTGGAAGTTAACTTTCATCAAGTATGCTGTTAAGTTCATTTAAAGTTCATTTCTTTCCACTCGGGCGTTTTGGAGGTTCGGATTCAAATCGAAGTGTGGTCAGTAAAACGAGCGACAGAAAACGTTTGTCAGATGCTGGAGCTGCAGCTGCAAGCCTCGAGCTCGGAGTCGCGTCGCGCCCGGCTATGGAACTCATTGTTCACCACCTCACCCGCGCAGAATGTCCGTCGGCACCCTCAGCGGGCGTGGCCAGGCCCGGACTGAGTCTGTGGACCAGCAACGGTCGAGCCTGGGATGGCAGGATGACGGTCAGCACTGTTTCCGGGATCATCCAGAAAGTGCGTCTGCTTTCCCCAGCTTGATTCGCCAAAAACGGAAGCTCGGCGCCTGCAAGACTCGGGGTAGGCCACACCGCGGTACACGCATGTACTGTAGGCAAGATATTGCCTACCCATCAGGCGCTACGAGACTTTCCGTAAGGTGATATTTGCGATTTCTTATCGGCGAAAGACGCCCACGCAGAGAATTTGAAGTCGCATTGGGACAAGGCTCAATTAGTCATAGGAGCACAAAAGCACGACACCAATTGGTAAAGAACGTCCCAGGAGCAACCCCCGAGGGGGTCCCCCACCAGCCAACTCGTTACACTTGCCCACGCCCAACTCATGGACACTTCGCCGTTGTGTGTGGCAAAATTGTATATGAATATGGTCACGCAGCGTGTACTAAAAAATATTTTCACGCACTTCGCTTTTCTTTCAAATGTCAAAAACTTAGAAGAGTTCGCCTTTCAGTTTTTACCTTTTTCTCTCCTTGTTTCAGATTTGGAACGGCTCCACAATGGAGGATCATTTTACGTATGGTAAGAGGCTTTGAAATTTTACCAATTTAACCAGCTATTTGCCTCGCAGGCACAACCAGCTGTCCACCTGACCTGGCGTGTCAGGTCGTCAGGTCCACTGTTGCCAACAGTCGAGTCGACCTGACAGGCACTAATTTCCTTGTGCGTGACTACGGGTGCCTAAGGCACTATTGTGTTTACAGTGCGGACACAATTTCTGTTTGGGGGGGGGGAGTAACTGTTTGAAAATCAAGCCTGACACCTTTTAACGCGTGTAGAGTTTCCTTTAACTTCCTGCAGGTCCTCGCAGAGGCCCGTGCGATGTCTGTGGTCAGGCTGGTACTGCATGCGCGCGCTGCCGCGTCACCTTCTACTGTGGCAAGGAGCACCAGAAACAGCATTGGAAACTGCACAAGCCGACCTGCGGGTGCCTCGAGGTGAGTGTTCTCTTAACTCGATCTGAAACCATGATGTAAGTGTACTAATAGGGACACTCTTGCAGGTACGTGCCGACGAGCGTGTAGGCCGACACATCGTGGCCGTTAAGGACATCCCGATGCGCACTGTCCTCATGAGGGAGCTGCCGCTGGTCGTCTACCCTAGAGCCGCAACGAATCCAAGGAATATGCTGGCGCTTGAACCCACGAAGGTAAGTCCAAATGGGGGCGACTGCCACTGCTCCCCCCACCCCCTCTTTTTCCAAAAAAACGCGCCTGGCTTGCAGTAGATGTGCCGAGCTGGTGGCCCGTCCCGTCTTAAGCGCTCTACTGTTGGTCATCGTTTTTCGTGTGCATTCTTATTTTTCGTTATGTTTTGTGGTTTATTACAGGTGTGCGTCGCCTGCTGTTTGAAGATCAATGAAACTGTCCCATGCGGCCATTGCGGATGGCCTCTTTGCAAACGTAGCTGCCCCTATCTGAATCGACACAACATCGAATGCGCTGCTTTAAAACCTTTAAATCTTGATCGCCACAACAACGAAGGCGCTGCTTTAAAACCTTTGAAACAGTCACCAATGGAAATTCTTCGTGCAATTCCCATGCTTGGTGGTATGCTCTATCCTATAGCGGGTGTTTCCGTGGGGGACACACCATTGTTGCGGATTTGTAGTGATACTTTCTTTACACATACAGATTTTTTCACTGGTCTCCTTCAAGTCGCGGACCTGCATGGACTCGGCGCGGTTAGGATTTGGAAGGCGTTTGAGCAGGAACACGGGCCCCGTCTCCTAAATCTGCAGCATGAGATAGAGACGCCATCATTTGTAACAAATGGAACAGTAAGAGAAGGGGATCAGCAAGCAGGTGTCTTCAGCACCGTCGCCGCGCGATATAGCTTCTTTAATTGGGAGCTCACGTCACGCTGGGGCGTGTCCAGAGGCAAACAAACGCAAGGCGCCTTGGACGCCTTGAAAAAACGTAAAGATATTTTGCTCTTGTTCCGAAGAATTTTTTATTTTTGTTTCACGAAAAAAATTGTTAAATCAAAGACTTTTCTTCAAATTAAGGAAACTTTTTCCTTAAAGAAATGAGAAAATTTCGTTGGCAGGATTGCACGTCATTTTGCCTCTCACGCGTGCTTAACTTTACACGCCCCAGGCAGAGGAGTGATGTCCCGACGAGTGGCACAGCAGACGATGAGTTTGCGATACTTTGAAAGTTTGCTCAGGTTGCACCTTAAATATGTCCCCTAGGTCGAAGCCGCGAAGCTGAAAAGTGCGTGTGAAAACTTTTGCACGACGGTCTCAGCAGGTGCAGCCAAGGCATCCAGTTCGGTGGCATGCAGTAGTCCTGAGACCCGGAAAGGTTTAGAAAGAGCCTGCGGGGCTTCCCTTATAAACTCCTTTCTCCTGAAGCAAGAAAAGGTACAGTTACAACTCGGGCTTAGGACCCCTCCCCAGAATGTTACCCATTTTTTCCACTTACACAGTACAGCGGATCTGCCTTGTACTCGGGTCTTTCTCTGCTGGAACATTCGTGTCTGCCCAACGCACGCGTTGTCCCGATTGACGAGGACTCGGAGGAAGTATTCCTGATTGCCTTGAGGAACATCGCTGCCGGCGAGCACGTGACTATCGACTACCACCGTGAACAATTGCCCACCCTGTCCAAGCGCTGGCACAACAACACTTTAAGGGGCTTCGTGTGCCGCTGCGAGTTGTGCGAGGATCCTACGGAAAAGGGGACTTATTTCAGCGCCTGGTGCTGCACAACCTGCAAAAGTAAGTAAACTGGCTAGTCCTACCTACGATGTTTACAGAGTTTTACACTTTTAACTGCAGAGTTATCTTAGACCGCAAGTGCCCCCACCCCCGGCTGCCACTCAACTGCCACTCAGCGCTCCGTCGTCGTGACCATGGTCGTCATTGGTAGAATTTTTGGACAGTCCCCAAGACTTTGTCTATTAGAAGTAGAAAACGTGCCCCCCCCCCCCCCCGCGCTTCCCCTTTAGAACGGGGCCGCACGGAATTGGGCTTGCTGTTTGTGTTTGTGGTGTGTGGCGACCGTTGCGCTCAGCTCCGTCCCCTCTCCTCCCTCCCTTCCGGAGGCTGTCTGAAAAGTGCCCCCCTCCCCCCCTTCCCGTCCTCCGTCTCTTCTTCTCTAGAAGAGGCCCGCACCGCCCGCACGGGGGCAGGGACTCGGTTGTGGCGATGGCGACGTTCTTGGACAGGCCGCACAGCTGCCACCACCGCCCCCC